GAAAGGATCACAGAATCACTCAGATAAATAAGTCTAATGGGTGGGGCCAATAACTATCTTCAGAGAATGTGTGTAAGATCATACAGTTATTTTTCATTCTCATATGCAGAACTTTCTGAAGAGAGCTGTGAATCACTGGGAAAGAAGACAAGCAGGAGGTGGGGAGGGTACCATATGTGTCTGTAGGCCCTAAAAACTCTGCACTGGGAATTACTTATAATCCTGGATGGGGGTAAGGAGCCATGTGTTACCTTAAGGAAAGAAGATTCCATGTCACCATTCTCTGTCCTGGGTCCTCAAACTGCGTGGGAGTAAAATAATTTCATTAATGCCATCAGCTCCGCTCACCCATGTACAAAATATTTATGAACAGCTCTGTCATTTCTGCTCTTTGAAGAGACAGAATCAATCTTCCCATCTTAAAAATAGAAAAATGAAGTACCAAGGGAGTCTGCATTTTCTAACTTCAGTTTTAGTCAATGATTTTGGAAGTTCTGTCCTAGAAACTGAAGTGACCCAGCCTGTGAACCCCACGGAGCCCTTCTCATCTCAGGCCAACGAGGCAGCGTGGCTGGGCCTAGAGCGCCATCTTGTGTTCACAGTGAGACAGCTACACGTTCTACACATTTTTTTTTTTAATTTTAGGTTTTTTTGTTTTGTGTTTTTTTTTAAGATTTTATTTATTTGCGAGAGAGAGAATGAGAGACAGAGAGCATGAGAGGGAGGAGGGTCAGAGGGAGAAGCAGACTCCCTGCTGAGCAGGGAGCCCGATGCGGGACTCGATCCCGGGACTCCAGGATCATGACCTGAGCCGAAGGCAGTCGCTCAACCAACTGAGCCACCCAGGCGCCCCCGTTCTACACATTCTATCAAGCATTACTCAGTCATTCAGTATAGGGTACTATACCTCTCTCATTACATTAAGTCCAGGGCATTCAAAGATTGGTAAGATAGTTTTAGAGTTCAAGTGTTAATTGCCACATGGCTTTGGGCAGCTTATTTTAACCTCATTTTGCCTCAGTTTCCTAAACCTGAAAATGGAGATAAAAGTAAGAAACTCAGGTTCTCAGAGGAGTATGTGAGTGAAGCAGCATTAGGCACATAAAGTGTTTGTCCGCTTGGTAGTCACTCCACACGTGGTAACCGCAAAGCATGCTCCCTTGCAGAGTTGACATTCTCATGAGGGAAAGTGGGCATGTAAGTGGAACACAGAAAATACATGACAAGTAATGAAAAAGAAATACAAAATGTTTATGAATATTCGATCCATATAGACAAGCATCAAAACTAACATTGCTCTCATGTGTGACCTTCAGGCATTGTGCATTAAGACTCCTTTGATCTCAGTCAAAAAATAAGTACTGGAGGGCGCCTGGGTGGCTCAGTTGGTTAAGCGACTGCCTTCGGCTCAGGTCATGATCCTGGAGTCCTGGGATCGAGTCCCGCATCGGGCTCCCTGCTCGGTGGGGAGTCTGCTTCTCCCTCTGACCCTCCTCCCTCTCATGCTCTCTGTCTCTCATTCTCTCTGTCTCAAATAAATAAATAAAATCTTTAAAAAAAAAAAAAGTACTGGGGCACCTGGCTGGCTTAGTTGGAGAAGTGTGTGACTCTTAATCTTGGGGTCGTGAGTTCAAGCCCCAGGTTGGGGGTAAAGATTACTTAAATAAATAAATAAATAAACTTAAAAAAAGAATAAGTACATACTAAAACAACAATAGGGGACCTCCTGTGTGTCCAAAGAACTTTCAGGCAGAGATAAGTTACCTAACATCCTTTTGTTTCAAACTATATTTCTCAAGCCTTAGTTGTTAGATATTCACATATTAATATATCATATATATGTACTAACATTTCAGAATTTTATTTCATCTATACCAGATATTCTCTAAGTTCATTAACCTTAGAGAGTTAAAACCAAAGATCAGGGTTGACAAGAACAACGGCATTTAAATAACAGCAGAGCCTCTGTCTGGAGCTCACCCAGGGAAGACCATGGGATGGTTTCCTTGCAGTCTTGGCTCTTGTTATCAGAGTTCCTGGGTGGTTCAGGAATGGTCCCTTTAGCCTCCAGACACTACCAACAAGCTTCTTCGCAAGCAGCAACCCTCCTCTGGTCAGTTGGTTCTTCCTCTCTTTGCTAGAGCTGCTTTTCTCTCTCTCTTATGGCTCACCTTACTGATACTAAAATCTCTCCCCTCGCCCACCCTCGAGCCCTACTGTGTCCTGAGGCTGGGCCCACAGACTCCCCTTGGGACCCTTCTAGTCGCCATTCCTGCCTCTGGCCTGAGCGCAGCCCCTCAGCTAATCCATAACACGGGAGTGGGTGCCTCAGGCCAGAGTGGGGGCTGGAAGCTAGTGCTCCCCTTGCCCATCTTTCCCTGTGGCAGCCACAGGGGGCAGCCTCATACCAGCTTCTCCGGCCTGGTTGACAACTACCAAGACCCTTGGCCTTTTCACTCTCTTTCAAGTGCAGCACCCAATAAGTACAATTTACAGTGTTTGCATCCAATCACAAATTACCAGGCGTAACACAAAACAGAACAAAAGCAAAAACAGAAAACTACCATCCATGATGAAGAGAAAAAGCAAACACGAAGACAAATCCAGAAACAACACTGATTATACAATTAGTGGACAAGAACATTGAAACAGTTTTCTGTAACTGTTGTGTATAACCATTTCCTGTGTGTTCAAGAGGTTAGAGGAGAGACTGAACATGTTGGTAGAGATGTGGAAGATACAAAAAGACCCAAATTGAACTTCTGAGAATTAAACTATAATTCTTTAAAAAAATTTTTTTTTAAATTTTAAGAGTGGGGGAGGGGCAGTGGGAGAGGGAAAGAGAGAATATTAAGCAGGCTCCACGCCCAGGGCAGAGCCAAATGTGGGGCTCAATCTCATGACCCTGAGATCATGACATGAGCCAAAATCAAGAGTCGGACGTTGAACCAACAGAGCCACCCAGGCACCACCCTTCCTTTTTTTTAAACTACAATTCTGAGATGAAAACACACTGGATTAGATTGATAGCAGATTAGACAATGAAAAAGAAAAAGCTAATGAACTTAGGGACACATTAATGTAAACCATCCACAATGAAATACAGAGGGGAAAAATATTGAAAAAAATGAAAAGAGCATCAGTGCACTGGGGGACAACTTCAAGTAGTCTAATATAGGAAAAGAAAGACCCTAAGAAAGCTTCTGAATGTAACAAGGAGTTCCCTAAAATGCCAGAGAGCCCATCAGAATTTTTAAATAGCTTAAGTGGAGAAAAAAAATTTATTTTGAGACCCAAGTCCCCAACACATAAATTTTTGTGACGCAATTTCTTAGTTATCACCAATCCAAACAGTCTGTTTGTCGGCTGACATGCTGTCATCCTAGGACTTTCAATCACACTGCTCATTTACCAGTGTTTTTTAATAATATAAAAATAATACATGACCGGGATGCCTGGGTGGCTCAGTGGGTTAAGTGTCTGCCTTCAGCTCAGGTCATGATCCCAGTGTCCTGGCATGGAGCCCTGCATCAGGCTCCCTACTTCTCCCTCTGCCTGCCCCATGCCCCCCCCCCCCCGCTTGTGCTCTTTCTCTCTGTATCTCTCTCTCTCTGACAAATAAATAAATAAAATCTTAAAAAAATTTTTTAAATATAAAAATAATACATGACCAAGAACAGTTCATTCCAGTAATACAAGAGTTGTTCAACAGTGGGAATCCTATCAACATCAACCATTATATTTGTATGCTAAAGAAGAAAACCTACATGATTTTATGAATAAATGCAAAGAAAGTCGTTTCCTAAAATTTATTTTTTAAAGATTTATTTATTTATTTTAGAGATAGGCAGTGCACATGTGCGCTCAGTGGTGGGAAGGGCAAAGAGAGAATCTCAAGCAGATTCAGGGCTCAGTCTTACTACCCGAAGATCATGACCTCAACTGAAACCAAGAGTGGGAGGCTTAACTGACTGAGCCACCCAGGCACCCCTGTTTTCTAATATTTAATAGCATCTCTAATAAAAGCACTAATTAAAATAGGAATAGAAAGAAACTACTTAAACATGATGAAACTGTTTATCAAAAACCAATGTTCAACTTTAGCGTTCAATCACGATGGAATAACAAGAGACTGGATTTACCCTCCCTCCTTAAACAACCAAATGCTGGACCAAATATGTAAAACAAAAGTTCTCGGACATTGCACCTCAGCCAGTGCAGGTCAGTGACCCCAGCGAGAAGGAAAACAAGCGAGGTGATCCCGAAAATTGCCCCAGCTCATTACCTGGAGAGTCTCCAGGCTGGACGCAGAAAGCGGAAACCAAAGCAGAGGCCAGAATTCTTACTGGGTTAAAGAGACAGTTTCAGAGCTGGAGCGGGGCAAGGTGATGAAAATTTGTTAGCAAAGTATCAGCGAGGGAACTGCAGAGAGAGAGAAAGCTCTGGAGATCTGCAGAGGGGTCCCTGGAGTCTTGGGCTGAGCACTACAGTGTACTGCATGTGGAAAGAAACCTCCAAGGCTGGGGAATGAACACCAGAGAGGAGGAGGCAGATCAAGCCCGGGAGCTCGCACAGGGCCAGAAATAGTGCTCCCGCCCTAGCCAGGGTGGGAAGACTGCCTATCACCCGAACCCTCCGACACAGGGCTCAGAAGCATAGTGCCTCAGTGGGGCCAAAATGGCCCTTGATGAAAAGCTGGGTTAGACCTGTCCTATCAGCGCATAAAAGCAAGCTGCAAAAAAAACTCGAACCCATTCCAAATAACTTACTGCGTTCTAAAACAAGCCCATAAAAATCTAAAGGAATTCAAAAAACCCAGCACCTGATAACATACAACACACAATGTCTGGTGTCCAATCAAACATTACCAGGTATGCAAATAAGCAGGAACTATGACCTATAACCAGGGGGGTAAAAAAATCTATCTATTGATCCAAAAAAAAAAAAAAATCAATTCGAATGAACACAAAGAACATCCATTAACTATATTTTAGCCAAGATTTCACACTCTTGTCTCATCAAAGCTTTTAGCAGCAGATGCTACCTCAAAATTACCGAATTGGCAGATTTCCTTTCCCTGATTTTTGGTGCTAATAAACCAAAAAGTTGTTAAAAGGAAAGAAAAACCAAAGCCCAACTGGCAGATTACTTCTGAGGAATTCTCTAAGCTTCAAGGTTTCAAATCCTGCTTCTCTCTCGACGCCTTTCCATTCTTCCTGCATTCCGTTGTGTGTTCCTTCCTTCTCTTGGTAAGTATATTCCTGTTTCTATTTCTACAAAAAATATTTCAAAAACAAAAACTTATATATATTTTTGTATATATTATATATTATGTTTTATATATTATATTAATTAATTATGTATTAATTAATTAAATATACATACACAAGTTAATGCATGGCCATTATTAAATGGATGCTTCTATTTTGTTCTTTCTGCTTTAGATCTCTCAGATAACAAAAAACATTAATAGTATGCTGCTATGTGCCAAACAAAATCAGTGCCATGCCCATATGTATGTATTCTCATATGAAATACATATTTTGGTAATCAGATCAGCCCTGTGTGGTAGATACTATCATCATTCCTATTTTACAGTTGAAGAAATTGAGGCATGGGGAGGTTCAGAAGGCTGCACTAAGTCATACAGTTGATAACTGGCAGATTTGGGTTTGGGCTCAAATAATCTACAACCAGAGCTCATGATTTTGATCATAAATTCTACTGCCTTTAACTAATACAGAGGCTATAGAATAGATGATCTATTTAAAAAAAAATAAACTATATAGATATAACCAATACAGATCCCTCCCCTTCTTTTTCTTCCCTATATCCTTCCAAATAGCCACTAATCTGAAGATGTTCTCATACATGATTTCCCCCTTACCTGTTCCCACCTTTGGATCTCAGATGAAGATGATTGAGTGAATCCCATTAGCCAGTTTCCACCTCCATTGTTAACTATGATTTTCATAGTAGCATTATATATAATATTCAAATGTGTTTTGTATGTATCTTCTAAATCCGGTATTTAATGATTTAATGTGTTTTGTACGTATCTCCTAAATTCCATATTTCACCCATGGTGGTGGTGGTGGTGGTGATGGTGTGTGTGTGCGTGCACACTTTAAATTTATATAAAGGGCATTTGTATTATATAGACCTTGTATTATTTCTTACTATCTTTACTCAGCACTGTTTTTACAACATATCCTTGTTGTTATGTACATTTCATTGTTGCTTCTAATGGGCACACCATTCCCTAGTATGTATCAACTGCATTGTCTAATTGTCTCCAACTACAATGACCCTTTATGTACATGTCTTGCTGTGAGCCTGTGTGTGAATTTCTGGAACATATGAATGCTTAATTTAACCAAATACTTAACAACTACTCTCCAAAGAAAACTGTACCAATGTCACCACTTCCCCAGCAATGCAGGAGGGTTCTTATTTTTCCCACACTCTTATATTACTTGGCATTATCCAATTTCTAATGTTTGCAAATCTGATGTCCAGTCTTTTAATACAGGGTACATTTTTCTAATTGCTAATGAGCTAGAGTACCTCTTTATTATTTTTCATTTGTGTTTCTCTATTTGTAAATTACTGTTTATATCATTTGTCCAGTTTTCTGTCAGGTTTCTCATTGTTGTTTCACAAGAGTTGTTTGTATATTTAGCTAATAGCTAGAGACTAATAGTCTCTTGTCAGTTTTAGATATTGCAAATACATTCTCCCAATCTATTGTCTGTGTGTTGACCTTGTCTACAGGTCCTTCATTTAACAAAAATCTGTAATTTTGATGCAATGAAATCCATTAAATTTTTTTGCCTCCTGCTTTGTGCTTTGTGGTCTTAAGTTGCCACAAAGATATTTTTATATAAGCTTTTTTAGGAATGTGCCTTTAGATCTTTAGTACATCTGAAGCCCACCTCTATAAATAGGTAAAGGTAAGGAAAGGATGCAGTTTTATTTTTCTATTTATGGGGCAATTTTTCCAAGAGCATCTACTAAGCATTGATTTGTGACACCATTGTTTGTCACATATCAAGTTTATATAAAGAGGTGGGTCTAACTCTGAGTTCTCTGTTTTGTTTCATTAGATTATTTGTTAATCCTCTTTAAATTGCCTTTGTCTAAAATCAATTAAGTATAAATGTAAGAATTCCTTTCTGGACTTTCAGTTCTGTTCCATTGATCTATATGCCTACACTCACACCAGTTCCACACTGTCTTAACTAGCATATTAAAATTTAAAATCAGAAAGTGTAGGGGCAAGGTGCCTGGGGGGCTCAGTCGGTTAAGCAGCTGCCTTCGGCTCAGGTCATGATTCCAGGGTCCTGGGATCAACTCCTGCAACAGGCTCCCTGCTAGGCGGGGAGCCTGCTTCTCCCTCTCCCTCTGCCTGCCTCTCTGCCTACTTGTGCTCTCTATCTCTCTGTCAAATAAATAAATAAAATCTTTTAAAAAAAATTTTAAAGAAGAAAGTGTAGGGGCGGCTGGGTGGCTCAGTCAGTTAAGTGTCTGTCTTTGGCTCAAGTCATGATCCCAGGGTCCTGAGATCGACTCCTGCGACGGGCTCTCTGCTCAGCCAGGAGTCTGCTTCTCTTCTTCTGCCCTGCTTGTGCTTTCTCTCTCTCTTTCAGTTTGTCTGTCTCTCAAATAAATAAATAAAATCTTTTTAAAAAATTAAAAAAAATAAAATCAGAAAGTGTAAATTCTCCAACTTAATTCATATGTAACAGGGCTAGCCCTCAGCTTTTTAGAACATTTTATTATGCAGTTTGTTAACACACACAAAAGTAGAAGGAATAGTATAATGAACTTTTATTACCTATCGTTCAGCTTCAAGAATCATGCTTCATCTATACTTCTCCACCCCTTACCCATTGCAGGTTTTGATTTTTAATACCTTTACTGAGATATAACTTAGCAAAAAATTCACCCATTTAACTGCACAATTCAATGATTTTGAGTAAATTTAGGAAGATGTGCAAACAGCACCACAGCTCAGTTTGAGAAAACTTCCATTGTCCCAGAATATTCCATCTTGCCCAACTGCCATCAGTCCCTACCCCTGATCCCACTCCAGCCCCAGGCAACCAACCATTCATCTGCTTTCAATCTCTATACATTTGTCTTCTCTGAACATTTCTTTTTTCTTTTTAAGATTTTATTTATTCATCTGAGACACAGAGATACAGAGAGAGAGAGAGAGAGCATGAGCAGGGAGAGAGACAAAGGAAGGGGGAGAAGCAGGCTCCTCGCTGAGCCAGGAGCCCAATGTGGGGCTTAATCCCAGGACCCTGGGATCATGACCTGATCCGAAGGCAGATGCTTAACCAGCTGAGCCACCCAGGCGCTCCTCTCTCAACATTTCTTATAAGTGGAATCATATAGTATGTGGTCTTTTCTATCTAGCTTCTTTTGCTTACCATAGATTTTACAGTCATACGTGTTGAAGCTTATATTAGTAGTTCATTTCTTTCTGTTGCTAAGTAGGATTCCATTTTATAGATATAACACATTATCATTCACCAGTGGACTGACCTTTGAACTGCTTCCGGTTTTGAATATTATGTATAATGCTACTACGAAAATGTGCATATAAGCCTTTGTGTGGATACATGTTTTCATTTCTCTTGGATATACAGCTAAGAGTAAAATTTCTGAGTCAGATGATAAGTTTGTTTAACTTTTAAGAAACTGCCAAATTGTAATTCAGAGTGACTATACCACTTTACATTGCTATAAGCAATATATGAGGGTTCCAGTTTATCTACATCCTCCCCAATTTTTACTATTTTCTGTATTTTATTTTTATTTCCACAATTATTCCTGATTAACATCATCTTGGGGTTTTTTTGTGGGGGGTGGGTTCCTATATTTTTAAATCTAACTTAGTGGGTGTATTGGTATCTCATTATGGTTTAATTTGCATTTTCTTAGTTCTAATTTTGCTAACCATCTTTTTATAGGCTTTTATTTATTGTTTTAAGATTTATTTATTTATTTTAGAAAGAGAGAGCACGCCAGTGGGGGGGGGAAGGGCAGAAGGAGAGGGAGAGAGAATCTCAAGCAGACTCCCTGCTGAGCGCAGAGCCCCACACAGGGCTCGATCCCAGGACCCTGGGATCATGACCTGAGCTGAAACCAAGAGTTGGATGCCCAACCAACTGAGCCACCCAGGTGCCCCTCTTTTTATGGTATATTCATATACCTTTTAGATATTCATATACCTTTGTTGGTGAAATGTCTGTTTAAACATTTTGCCTGTTTTTTAATTGGGCCACCTTTTTATTAAATTATAAGACTTCTTAGTACATTTTAGAGAAAAGTCCTTCATCAGATAGATAACTTGGAAATAGTTTCTCCCAGTCTGTGGCTTAACTTCATTTCCTCACTGGTGTCTTTTGAGCTTTTCAATTTTGATGATGTCCAATTTATCAAATTTTTCTGGGGCGCCTGGGTGGTTCAGATGGTTAAGCGTCTGCCTTCAGCTCGGGTCATGACCCCAGGGTCCTGGGATCAAGCCCCACATCGGGCTCCCTACTCAGCAGGGAGCCTGCTTCTCCCTCTCTCTCTCTCCCTCTGTCAAATAAATAAATAAAATCTTTAAAAAAATTTTTTTCTTTCATTGATCATGCTGTTGGTATGGATATCTGGGGTCCTCCTTGGTCTATCCTGTGCAGACATGTGGAAATTTATCCAGGCCTTATGGCTATCTCATATTCCAGATCTTTGACCAGTCCCCCAGTTCATTGCTAATGCCAGCCAGGACTGCAACCTCAGGCTAGCTGAGCCACTGGATTTACCTGTTTGTTTGCTCCTGAGATCCTAACAATTACTTCCAATCCTGCTAGAAGTAGGTTTTTCTATGCTTATTCAAAACCAAGTGAGACCCCACTGGTGGTGAAGCTGTGGGTTTTCACAGTTTGAACACCCTGGTAGAATATCCCATAAACTGAGGTGGAAGGTGGAAGAAATGGGAGCAATCTCAGGTAATCACAGAACCTACTGGTTTTTTGTTTGTTGGTTGGTTGGTTTCTCTTAAATATTTTATTTATTTAGGGGCACCTGGGTGGCTCAGTTGGTTGGGCAACTGAGTCCCAGGATAGAGTCCCGCATCTTAAAAGATTTTATTTATTTATTTGAGAGAGAGACAATGAGAATGAGCAGGGGAGAGACGCAGAGGGAGAGGGACAAGCAGACTCCCCCCTGAGCAGGGAGCCTGACATGGGGCTCC